GGTGCTTTTTCAAGTTTTACCATCGTTTACAAGTATTTGCAGACAAATATGGAAAACTACAGACAACTGTAGCAATCTGTTAGCAACCAAAGGAACCACAAGGATGCTTTTTGCATAGCACCTTACTTGCAACCAACTTCAGGAGCAAAACTGTAAATATCATGCAGGATGTGCCCAACAGGTGCAGTGTCACGTGATAGTTATTACTGTAATGCAAGTCAAATGAAACAGCAATGCAATGTTTCAAACAGCTACAACAAATATCAGCACAGACTGTTCTCTATAGATACCAGTACAGTGGCTTTAGTGTGTCTTAACTGTCAGATATGGAAACTCCTACATCCCCTCGTTCTCGACCTCAATCGCCTGTGATTGATTTTATTAATCAATGCATTCACTAAGAGATGGGGTTGCTGGTTATCTACAGATGGGAAGCTCTTATTTCATCATTAAGAGGTGATGAGAGTTTCAATATAATGCACAACAGCCAAACAGGAAGTACTGAAAGGAGAAACACAAGAATGCCTCATTTCAACGTTTTCCTAAAGTTGGGGAAAATACGAGGACGAGGACTTTTTATATCCCACTGATCTTTAAATACTTTGATTCATGGAAAGGGCACCGTGTAGTAAACTCACAGCCAGACACAGATATTTGAGCAGGGTTAGGAAGTTGTTGGCCTTACGTGTGGGATCAGGGACCCATTTAAATGGTCATGTGTGATAAAGAATCTGTTGCAATGGTGATGATAATCTGGGCCAACTGTCTGAAAGGGTTATTTTGGACCTTAGCATGACTGTAGCGATTTATCAGAGATGTGCTGAAGGAGAGTTTAAAAAAGGCAAGTGGTTCACAGTTTACTGCATTTTAAAAGGAAATCCAGACATTATTAGTAAAACTAATGTTAAGACTGTTACTCTCGATAAAATGACGTTAACGCCATAAACACATTAACGCAGCAAATCTCCGTAAGGGAGTTAGCCAGGATCGCCCGTGCATGGGGCTGCACGGCGTCAACGCGTTAGCGCGGTTAGCTCGTTAATGTGTTAGCGCTGTGCAGCCCCACTCACGGTGCGATCCGCGTCATTGTAACGAGATTAACGCTGACAGCACTAGTTAAGACATCTAAGTAATACATTTTATGTTTATTTGCTGTAGCTGTTTTAAACTTCAGTGCTCAAAACTGACCTCAGAACAGCAACATTGTGTCTACGTTAAGTATTTGTGAACCACAAGCGTCAGCAAGTTCACAGTCATGGGATGGTCAGTGTTAACTGCAGATGTGTTCGTTTCTGTTAGCCTGTTAGGCTAATACTACAGGCCCAAATTGTGTGTTCTAGCAAAAGTTCTAGAAAAGTTCATTAGTGAACATCTGAAAGACTTTTTGGACAGAAATTCAGTTCTTTTCCAACATCAGTCAGGATTCAGAAAACAACACAGCACAATAACTGCTGCTATTAAAGTGGTTAATGACATCGTTGATTCAATGGACTGCAAAAACTCCTGTGCTGCTCTTTTTCTTGACTTGTCAAAGGCTTTTGATACAGTTGACCCTGCTGTTTTATTACATAGACTAAACAATATTAGTCTATCTGTAAATGCTGTAAGTTGGTTTTCAAATTACTTGTCAGCAAGAAAACAGTGTGTCCATGCTGCTGGGTCTTCTTCCTCTTTCCTCCCAGTATCCAAAGGAGCTCCACAGGGCTCCATATTAGGACCATTGCTATTTTCTCTTTACAT